TTTGTAAACAATCGTTAATTATTTTAGGAAATATATCTTTTTTATTATCTTGTATATATTTTCTTGTTATTTGAATATCTTATCGAAATATCTTTGTTAAATTTTTTTATTGTCTATCCAATTGCTGATTATTTTTTAATGTTAATAATTTTTAATTATTCTTAGTTATTATTTTCTAAATTAATAATAATTAAATAATTAAATAGTATTTTATTACCATTAAAAAATAGTTTTTTAATTATTCTTTACTTTGTATTAGGTTGTGTGCAAAAGATTTGTCAAACATATAGAAAAGAAAACGAAATTATATGCAATTTTGAAGGATTAATAATTTTTACGAATAAAATAAACAACATTGATTCGGTATATTTTGAAGCATTCAATGAGGACTTTTTATTTTTCTTTTAATAGTCAAATAAAAGTTTGAGAGAAAAATAACAAACCTATTACGCCGAACTAGTATTTTCCTAAACCTCGATTATATATCGATTGCAGTTACTCAGCCGGATATTTTTTTCAAATGAGACAAGCGTGGCTGAGCGAATCGGAAAACGTTCAATTCGACAGACTCGTAATTCCGATAAGCGAGCAAAACTCCATTTTTCTCGATCGATTCTCGGTTAATCGTGCGAAGCGGAGGTAGAACTGCCGATGCAATTCGTCAGCAGCGAGATAATACGAGACCAATTTGCCAATGAAATCGACACGAATGGCGCGGAAAGGCACATCTAATGGACAAAGGCGAACTGTCGACCACTTTCGTGATGTTGGTCTTTCACAATACTCTATCTTCTCTTCTGAAGATAAATGAGTTCCTCTTTACTTGTTCAGGGAATCGACCAACGTGCGATCGCGAACGAACATTCTATCCACGTATCAATCGATATGAACCTGTATCCGATATTAAATAAGGAGGAAATTTGAAGGAAAGCATCACTTTTCATTCATTGTCTTGAATAAAATATGATAAGAATAATTAATTAAAAATAAAAATATATCAGATAAAAAATAAAGTACAATTAGATAAAAAATAGAAAAAAAATTGACAAATAATCAGCGACCGAGTATGTGCACTAAGAGAGAAAAAACTTGAAAATTTTTATTTGTGGGATATGAAATTTATTTCTATGAAATAAAGTTTATTTCTATGAAATCAAGTTTACTCCTGTGAGAATAAATTTTATATCTCACAATGAAAATTTCAAGTACTTATTTCCTAGTTAAATTCTTCAATAGAATTCAGCATATGTCATCGCACCTTAAAAGGAAGTACAGCAATTTCACAATCGGTCAAAAAGGTGGCATTGTTATATCTTGAAATATCTCAGGATGGCCAACGGCAGGAACGTTATTTATAACCTAAGTTAACTGATTTGCTTGTAAAAAAACATCGTTTGTATTTCGTTTTTACTTTCTTTGGAATCGTTTATCCCTCAAAGAATTTGAGACTACAGCATTCTCGCTTAAGTAGTGACTTCACACTCAAGAAAATGATCTTATAGTCACAGCGAAAACTATCTGGATACGAGAAATCAGTTAAGATGGTTAAATGACTAGCAAATACTGCAATACATTCGTTTATCTCTCGTCTTTCTTGTCTACCATAGTCAGTTTTTATAAAAAGCGTGACTGGCTTTAAGGAGACTAGATTGCCTGAAAATCGTGCTTATTCTTTCACAATTTTTTACGACAAACTAAATGAATATGCGAAAGTGTTATTTTGACGTATATTTATACAACATATAAAGAGAAGAAAAATATAATTTTGATGATCAAATACTCAATATAAGTATATATGGTATGCAGTTAAAATATGTTTCGTTTTTCTTTTCAAGATCGTCATTTTGCAGTAATATCTTGACTCTCGATGGTTCAATTAAGCTGAATTTTAGGTAGAAAATTTCCATAATGTCGTTATTGTGTAAATTTCACTGGCAAACTCGTGAAAATATTTAATTTTGAAATATTAATTCTTTTACTAAAAAAGAACTGAAAATTTAATAATATTCCATTAAGATATTTGTAATTTTAACTAACTTTTACTCAATTTCTATTATAGTGGTACGATAATGACAAGGTTACGGAAATTTTCTACCTAAAATTCAACTTAATTGAATCACCGAGAGTCAAGATATTACTGCAAAATGACGACCTTAAAAAAAAAAATCGAAATATATTTTAACTGCATGTACCATATACTTATATTGGGTATTTGATTATCAAAATTATATTTTTCTCCTCTTTATATGTTGTATAAATACACATCAAAATAACACTTTCGCATTCATTTAGCTTGTCATAAAAAATTGTGAAAAAACAAGCACGATTTTCAGGCAATCTGACCCTCAAGTCTCCCTAATCTAGATGGACGCCACAAAGACTTTTTTGTTGAATTTCACAAATAATTCCGGTAAAAATTCTGTCTTTCTTATCTATATTGACTAAATACAAAATATATGCGACATTACATATTTAATAGTCATTTATCTGTCTCAGATAATTTCTTCTACCTAGAAAATTTTCGCTATGATTGTAAGATCATTTTCTTTTTGAGTGATTCTATCTGAACAAGCAGAACATTCTTTTGAGTGCATCATCTTTTGAAGTAATCTCAGAACGACCGACGACATTCGAGAGGGCAGGCACAAGCCACGTTGGAAACTTGTACCTTTCTTCAATTCTGTCGCCAGGTCCAACTGGCAAGTGTGCGATTTAACGCGGTGAACTCCAAACAGCGTTACCAGATCGACTCGACTTTAAAGTGCCGACTTCTTAACTGTTCGATCTAGCGGCACGTAGCGATAATCTCAAGAAGCCGTATTTCCAGTAGACGAATCGTGCTTAATAATTAATTCTGACGGTTATCGACCGGAATCTTCCTCCTGCAGCCACGCTCCTCCATCACCTCCTCCTCCTACTTCCCCCCCTGCTCCACCCCCGGAGGCGAAGAACAGCAGTTTCGCGTTCGAGGGAGCTATCGAGCCACCGGGGAAAATTACGCCCTCTCCCTTCGGCTTTCCTTTCACGGTAGCGCGCGACTGGAAATGAAGGCGCCGCGAGGAAATTTCGCGTGCGGGAAAGTGTCTGCCGCCGTTGGAATATTTAAATGGCAAGGGCTGCCAGCCACGTCCCGTAAGTGGCACTCTCTCGACTTTCCTAACCGTCTTTTACGCTTTCCGGTAGAAACAACGCCGTGGCGACCCCGACGTTAAACCCGTTTCACCTCGATACTTCCTCGCCCGGTTGCGTGCGAGAGGGAATTTCCATTTTGTGTAAACAGCGGCCGGTCTCCTCCTCCATACGTCGCGCGAGTGCAGCCGTCGAAGTAGGTTGCTTATCGTGTTTCTTGAAATCGGCAAATGTGGCTTATATTCCACTTCTCGTTCTTTATACGCCAAGTGGCCAAGATTTACGATTACGGGACGCACGCGTGCGCGCGATTATACTTCGCGCGCGTTCGTGGAAAGTTATTATCTCGAGATAATCGAGATAAAACGTGGAAAATGAATTAAAACGAACACCTGCGGGCCACCGCAAATGTTCACACAGGAAGCTTTACCGATTCTTTAACCGCAATTTTCAATCGCCCGAATAGTTCCCTTCCCTATCGTTAATCGCAACTTTACTAACGGCTACCTTAACACGCCGCATGTATTGTTGTAATTTTATTTAAAGCAATTAATAGATAATATTTCTTACATATTTTCATTAAAGAATTGCCTTACATGAGAGTATGCCAAAGAAAATTTGCAGATATACTGCATTTTATACCTTTAAAGATGCGAATCGACGTTTCCAATTCTGAAGAATTAACCCTCTGCAGTACATTGACAGAAAGAATATCTAAAAAGTAAAACATATATTTATTCGGTGAATATACCAATATATATTTACTAAAATTTAATTTTTTTTACTAAAATAGGATAAACAATTACTTTCATGAAAGGTTAAGGTGCTCTAAAAAATGCACTGAGAAAGAATATTTGAATATAATTTATTTATGGAATATAAATTTGTTCACAGGAATAAACTTTTTATCCTACAAATAAATTATATTCTTTCTTAGTGTATATATTTTATTATTCAAAATATTTTATACTAGCATAAATAAATAAATAGCATAAATAAATATGTTATTAATACCTACTCCGAATAAGTATTTTTTATTTCTTGGATATCTTTTCTCTCACGTATTTCTCTTAACGTATCTCCTGCAAGCGAACAAATATGTATGAGTTAATTTTTGGTGTAAATAGAGAAAGCAATAAATGTAAAGTTGTTGCAAATAAATTTCTATATGCTAATAAAAAATAATATGTTAGACATTTTATTATCAAATAAACACCCTATATAGCTAATGCTGCTAATAGCATTCAACATTATTATCAATAATGTTGAAGAGTTATTTCACTTGTAACCTGCCTTAATCTCTTTTTAATCATTGTTTTACATATAAAGAAAGAATAAAGTAATACCTATTATAATATCTTTTTTATTAAATTATTATTCGAAGTATAGATCAAAATTGATTGGACTTACGTGTGGTAAGAAAGCGATAAATGAAGTTCTTGCCAATAAATTTCTGCATACTAATATTGTTAAATATATCTTATAATCAAATTAATTCTAGATTGCTAATACTGTTAGCAGTTAATCAACATTATTACCAACATATTCATCTTGATTTTCTTAATTGTTTTGTAACCTGTTTTAACGTATTTAATCATTCTTTTTTTCAGAAAGAAAATAAAGTCACAAGTATCATTTTCATTAAATTACCATTCGAAATGCAGATAAAAATAACTAAGATTGGTAGTCTAGGGTAAAAGGTATCAAGCAAGGCAGCTTTGCGAGAATATCTCGGCTTGAGATCGCAAAGGGTCGGAACGCCAAAGATGTGTCAGATTTGCGTCTCAATTTCGCGGAAGGGTTAACTGAAGAATGCACGAAACGTCGCGATTATAGTCCACTAATTGCCGCTTCCCGTTTGTGTGTTGCAGGTGCGAGCTGGTATCAGGCCGACGAGCGGGTTGTGTGGTGCTGCGCCGAGTGACACGGCGCTCCGTTGTTTTAAAACGCGACCCCGCGGCGCGCACGAGAGATGAACGAATGACCGGACCGCCACGGTGATCCACATACGCAATGAGGCCGAAATCGTGCTCGCTGTTCCTGCTGTTCTGCATGCTCCTGCCCGGAGTAGTGCGCCCCTTCACGTCCGGCGAGGGTGAGTAAAAGAATCGCGATCTCCGGACACGGGGAGTAAAAGTTCGCGTCGTAAAGCCGACGGCCGCTGTCCACGTCGGGGAATAGGAGGAGAGAGAGAGAAGGAGAGGTCTCTCGCAGGGAGATCGTTAAGTCCGCCATTGAACTCGTGCCGAGCCTATAATGACCTCTCAACCGGCGCTCATCTCCGCGGATTCGAGGAGCTGCCTTCAAGTATTCTCGCTCGAGGTACTCGCGTTTGACGCGCGCGAGTACATGTTGTTCGAGTGCCACTTTACGCGAGTTCCTCCGTCGTAGGAGCGTCGCGGCTCGGTCCGTTTGCGCGCGAGAGAGATTACTGTTAGTTAAGTTGCAAATTACCTCGTGTCGTTATGTCGTTGATGGAACGATCGTCGAGCGCGTTATTAGTTTGCCCGGGGTGCCTGTACGCACTCGGGCGCCGTCGTCGACGCGCGTTCCTTCCTCGCGCGTCCTCTGGTCTCGTGTAACCACGCGCGTTTTCTTAAAAGATCCACGAGGAAAGACTTGGGATGTCGTAAATAACGTTCCACATTGAAAGAGTAACGCCAACATGTGCCCCATTTCTAGGCAGTGAAAAATGGAACTTAAAATAGATACCAAATTAAAGGTCTTGATGAGCTGATTACAAAGATATAAGTTTTAGAGCAGCCCAGTGTACCGTTCCAACACTACGGTCCAAAAAGGTTCCGAATTTTAGGCTACTATTTTCTTCTGAATCATCCCAAAAGTTGAATTTTGTTTGATCCAGTTTTTAAAATAGTTAAGCAAAAATAATTTGAATATTTCTAATGTTTTTGATTAGGTTAAGATGCATTTTCCTATGCACTTCGTGTTCCAAAATCAACTAGAAGTTGATGTTCCAATTGGAATTTTCTACTTCCGGTTAGTTTGGAACATGGAATTTATACCATTAAATTCTTCATTTAACTTTATTAAATGTAGTATTTTGAATTTTTTAAATCCGTTAAGTTTTGCTAAGGATCAGTTTGAAAGCCTAAGATTTGGGACCTTTCTAGATCGTAGTGTTCGACAACGGTATACTGGGCGGCTCTAAAACTTATCTATCTTATATCTTTGTAATCACCTCATCAAGGCCTTTAATTTGATGCCCATCTTAAGTACATTTTTCACTGTCCAGAAATGGAGCACATGGCCTATGGACCAGTGGCATCACTCTTTTCCGAAATTTTCCCAGATACAGGATAGATTCAGAGGTTAGAATGCTCCAAAGTGTGCGGCCAAATTCGGTCCATTCTATAGAAAAAAGTTTTGAATCCAATTTGGTCTTATTTTAGCGCGCTGATTACAAATACGCAAGTCCCAAGATGAACCGACGTACCGTCTCAGAGAAAATGGCCCATTTAGAATTGCACTTCGCCGCCATTTATTGTCACAAATAAAAAGTATAACTATGGCAATTTGCAATACAATTTATTTCTTGATAGCTCGCGTTTAACCTTACTGGAGGTTTCAAAGTATAATCAACAAACCAACTGATCCAATTTAGCCGTGCTAACTATTTGAGAATCTACTAGAATCCTTTTATGATCCAGTTCAGGGACAACATCTGAAACTGTCGCTGCGATTTGCTGAAGATAATTTTATCATTGTCATAGTCACACTTTTTATTTTTGAAAATAAGTGGCGGCATTTAGTGGGGTGCAATTTTAAATGGGCCATTTTCTCTGGAACGGTTGGGCTACCTTGGGACTTGCGTACTCGTAATCAGCGCGTTCAAAACTGTAAAATAAGACCAATCTATAGATATTTAGCCGCACTCTTTGTTCCAAAATTCGTTATCCCATTACGTAACCAATTGGGAATCCCGTTATTGTCTCAAATATGAGTCCTCTGTCTAAAATTAAAACAAGGATCTGTTTGATATCATAAAAAGAATACGATATTCAATTGGGAATCCTATTTTCATGCCAATTTTATTTTATAGAATAAAAAAATATTTATAAGACACTTTGAGTATTTTACTAAATAATAGAATTAAGTGAAAAGTTAACATGTGTTTACTCACTTTTAATAGTATAAAATGAAGACCAGAAATAATATTAAGAAAACTTTGTTTCTCACGTAGAATGGCATGTTTGAAACTTTTAACCAAGGTATCGTTCATGTATCTTTTCCCCTGTGAACTCGTGAAAAGTGACGAGTTCCATGTTAAAATTTTCACGTTTCCATTGTTCGAGAAGTTACATGATCACGCTAAAATCGTTGAGTTTATGTGATACTTTTCACTTTTCATCTTTTCGCTCTTAGAAAAAAGTTACATGATTGCTACCCCGAACTCATAATTATTTCGGTGGATTGAACTGAATCGCAATTAGGATCCTAAGAAATATTCTATGTGGAACAAAGATCAGAGAAAATATGGGGGAACTTGAGCTTCACGTCTGGAATCGTATCTTTGAAAAGATTGCATTTCAAAAAATGAAGAGATATAATAAAATTTTTTTTAAACACTGAATATTTTGCTGAAAGTAATGAAAGTATTCTGAAAGTCAACGTACATTTTGCTGTATTTCAATATAAAATGGAATCCACAAGAGATATTGAAAAAACTTTGTATTTTCCACGTCTGTTTGAGACATTTCACTTCTAACCAGGACCCATATTTATATCAGAGGCTGATCCCAGCTAGATTCTAAGATATTTTCTATGCGGGGTACTTACGAGGAGTGCGCCGTGACAAGCCACTCGAAAGTATCATCCGTCGTCGCTTCTCAGGGTCGCAATATTCACAGGGCGAGTCGTGATACACGCGTCATGACTCGGGTGTTTCGCTAACGATCGCAAACTTCGAAATGGAGGTGCTCGCGCGCGCCTTTTGCACGTCAGGAAGAAGGGAAGGCCGAGTATCGCGGTTGGAAATATACAGGCGAGTGCGGCAAGAGTACATAGGAATAATATCCGTCATGGGAAAGAGAAAGGGGAAGAGAGACAGAGAGAACAAGAGGGAGAACAAAAGGGAGAAAGAGAGCCTGCTAATTATACGGCGAGGCAGCCTGACTGATTAGTCGTCGGCATAAGCGAGCGGTTACATTACACCGTCCCGTTTTCGATGATGGATTACACTCCCCCGGAGCTACTTTCGAGGAGCGACCTCCTGGACTACGTCATCCCCGTTCGCTCCTCTTTCTTTTCTATCTTCCGCTCTCAGAGGGACACATCTCGCGGCTAACTAATTAGCGCTCCCGACACGTCCTCGTCATCGTCGCCTCGCGTTAACGACGTATCCCCGCGTCCAACGACGACCGCGATGATGATGATGCATCCGGCTGGTGGGCGAGCCGTAAAAAGAACAGCGCGACGATCAATCTCCGTTGACTTCGGACGAAAGTATCGCGTGTGAGCGCGCGGACGATTACGTCCTGAAGAACAAACACGACCGGGCGATCCATCCTTGGCGCTCTTCCTCTGCCGGGACGTCTTCTTCTTCTTCTTCTTCTTCTGCTGCTTCCCCTTCGTCTACGTCGTCGTCTTCCTGCTCAAGCATTGTCCGCATACCGTCCCGACCGTGTAACCGCTCATCTTCCCGGCAAACGTTCGTTAACGCTCGCAGAGCGCGTAATTGTTTCTCCGGCGAACGGACACAGCCGCGAAAGAGGATAAAAGGAGGAGGAAAGAAAGGGAAAAAGAAACGGATGTGTATGATTTAACGCCAGGACGAAACGAGGATACAATTATGACCTGTTAACCAACCACCCGCGATTTAACTATATGATCACGCGCGGCACAACGCACGATCCCCCTTCCCCCTCCCCCTTCACTCCCCCCCCGTCCTCATCATCCGACGCGCCGCGTCCACGTTGTCTACGTATGGCGCGCGCATCGACGGGAACAAACGACGCCAGCTTGGAAAACATTCGTTCGCCATTCCCGTAGGTACGTGCTGTACAATAGAAATCGCAACATAACGCGCGCGCGCATACAAGGTGGGCCAAAAGTCCGGACACGCTCCAATATCTCGTCAACGGTATACTTTCGAAAAGGAGAAAAAATGTTTCAGACAAAGGCGGTAGAGTTTGTACAGATCTATCAGTTGGCGATACTTATTTGATCTTGGAGTAACCTTGAGAAGCCCTGTCAAAGAGAACCCTAATTTTTTAAACGGAATTGCATGACTTTTTTCTAGTATAAATTGATCTCTCTGGTCATTCTGCGGGTAAAAGTACACTGAAGTGAAATTATCGTATACAAAATAAAAAGTAGCAAAATAAAAGTATCAAGACGAGATTATCGAAGAATAAATAGTTTATGAGATATTTCATATCTTGATAAAATATAAAATTCTCGGGGAAAGTACAAGTACTTTCCAACGATTTTACTTTGATGCCTTTTCACGCAAAATGTCCACACTGAGAAAAAACATTTAAATTAATATCTATTTTTTAGTCAGTACTAACAGGATATTTACTTAAATCTAAATACTTTTATTTAAATGGAGCAAATAATTGCTTTTGTGTGAAAGACTAAGATTTTCTTAAGGTTTTAAGGAAATGTACATTTTTTTATATGAAACATATTTTATATTAGCGTAAGTAAATATGTTATTCCCTCAAACAAATATTTAATTTTTAGATATTATTTTCTCAATGCAGAAAAGGATTTATATCGAAAAAAGCCATACGATTTTAGCCATTTGAAAAATTAAAGTTGGTCTTGAGAGAAACAGAGCTTTCCAAGTTTGTTCTAAGATCAAATAAATATCACCGGCTAACAGATTTACCACATATGTTTGAAACATTTCCTTCTTTTCAAAAAACGCATTGTCGACGAGATATTCGACCGTATGCAGACTTTCGGGCCACCCTGTATGCGACAGTGCGCGCATACGCGCGCGGGTCCGTGCACTTTTCCTCTGGCCATTTTTCTCGCGCTGTCGGTTGGATAAATAATTCCTATCCAGGCGCGCATCCTTACGATGGAAGCTACGGGCGGCGCCTCGCGATATTCCTTGCACGGTCACCG